TTGAGCGTTCTACCAATCAAATATTCAACATTCTCCAGACATGCTTATCAATGGCCTTCGATCCGAAGTGGGCGATACCTTGTCCTGATAATGCAGGGAGAAGTCTTGCAGCATAATAACTTTAAATATGTTACTTACAAGTCGCATAAGTCGTATATATATATATATATATATATATATATATATATATAAGAAATGGACAAGGTCCGACAATTTATTAAAGACATTTTTTTAATGTTTTTTTCTATAAATAACAACGTTAAACATAAAATGTGTCTTTAATATATATATATATATATATATATATATATATATATATATATATATATATATATGGAATGAATTAGTGTTAAAATGTCGACACAAAAATAAATTCAAATTTTCATAATATAGGTTTAACTTAATTAGTTACTGTATTTACATAATATTGTTGTGGAGTGATTTCGCAGTTGAGGCTTGTATTTGTACTAAGTCGGTCCTAAAATAGGTTCGATGTACAAAACGTTAGGAACTTGATATAATAACTATTACGCAGAGTAATCTTGTCGTGGTCGCTGATACTTTCGTATTCGACTAACGGTCGTCCGACATCGACGCTATTTAGTAACTGCCCCACGCACAAGGCCGAATTTAATGTGGGGTTCCCGAGCCCGTAGGCTCGACCAAAAAGTCCCCGTAGACCCCGCATAAACGGGATCGGGTCTGTCTACCTCCCCGGACGAAACTCTGTCCTTCGGCATAGCCTTGTCCAGGTTCCTCTCTGCCTTCGAGCAGAGAGTTCGACTGCCGTCCGACAACGACTAGTATTTAGTCACCATCCCCCACAAGGGTATCATGTGGCACAAGGCCAGTTTAACATGGGATCTCCGAGCACGTGGACTCGGCCAAAAATATACCCATTGAACCAGTATATACGGGTTCAGAGTCGGTTTACCTCCTCGAAAGAGAATCCGCCCTTCGGCGTAGCCTCGTTCGGGTTCCTCCCCGCCTGAAGGCAGAGAGTTCAACCGTTCAGCTGGTCATCCGACATCGACTAGTATTTAGTCTACCCCCACGAGGGTATCATGTGGCACAAGGCCGGTTTAACGTGGGATCTCCGAGCCCGTGGGATCTCCGAGCCCGTGGGATCTACGAACAGGTGGGCTCGGCCAAAAATATACCCTTTGAACCCGGATAAACGGGTTCAGGGTCGGTTTACCTCTCCGAAAGAGACACCGCCCTTCGGCGTAGCCTCGTTCGGGTTCCTCCCCGCCCGAAGGAAGAGAGTTCAACCGTTCAGCCTGTCGTCCGACATCGACTGGATATTCAGTCACCCCCCACCCACACACTGGGGCATCATGTGACACAAGGTCGGTTATTTATTGTGGGTTCTCCGAGCCCGTGGGCTCTGCCCAAAAATATGCCCATTGAACCCGTATAAACGTGTTCAGGGCCGGTTTACCTCACTGAACGAGACTCCACCCCTCGGCGTAGCCTCGTTCGGGTTCCTCCCCGCCCGAAGGCAGAGAGTTCAACCGTTCAGCCGATCGTCCGACATCGACTGACCGTCGTTTCTATTACTACTCCTATTTATATTAGATGGTAGAGTCTATTAACTATAGAATAGGTATGTTTCACCATAACAAATATTTACACCCCCTCTAATCATTCCAATGTCGAAAGTATAGCTAATTCTAATTTCTATTTCCTCCCCTCTGTACCGCCTTACACTATATTTATAATTTATAAACTTTCATCAACTCTAAGATGTACCCAACTCTCTCTCCATCAATCCCTTGCATCATTTTATCTATGTATTTTAAAGTTATTTTAAACGACTTTTTATTCCTCTTTTAATTTTAAATTAACATTTAATTCTTCATATAATCCCGAATCAATGTCATAAGGTTAATATTCGGGTTTAATTTTATAAAACTTCTTTCCTTTAAGACAATTATCTTCCACCCTTCACCCTCCTCAGATCATCATCCCCTGACCCCTGCCTCGTGCCTTTCGTCTGACAGAAACATTACAATGCATAAATTCTGTATTCGTTTTTCGAGGGTTTTTTAGCTTTCACAATTAAATTTCTATTTTTAACACGAACTCAGTCCACGCCGGGATTGATGAGAGAGACAACCAATGTTTTTGTCTGCCGAAATAGGCTATTCCCCATATGAGATAATTTTGGATTTTATTGTTTATTAATTATTTGCTCTGTAATAATAAAAACATTGAGCTTTTTTGTGCACCCGCTTTAGTATTTTATATTTTTATGATCCACTTGAAATATATCAACGGACTTGTTACCTTTACTATATATATCATATGTGCAGGTGTCTGGATGTCTGTTCCTAGGAACTGTGTTGCTTGACCGTCAGACGTCCGAAAAACGATGGGAGAGTGAAGCATATATATATATATATATATATCCTCACCAGTCTTATTCAACCTATACAGTGAAGCAATTTTGAGAGAATTAGAAGTCCTACCGGGATTCATTTTTGGCGGACACAATAACAACTTAAGATATGCAGATGACACAATGTTGAGAGAAGACACGGATAGTAAACTATAAAATTTTCTACAGAAGGTTGCGGAGGAAAGAGCGAAGAAAAGATTAAACATCAGCTGCAAAAAGACATGGTTGTTAGCAAAATGATGAGCCCAAAGTGTGAATTGCGAATCGGAGATACCAAAATCAAGCAAGTATAAAAATTTAAATATCTGGGAACTATTTTAACAGAGGACGGAATGTGCGAGACTGAAATCTCGAGGGAGTATTGGGATAGCCAAAAATGCATTCCAAAATCTACGCGGAGTATTAAGAAATAGAAAAAAAAATTCGTTAGAAATAAAGAAAAGAGTATTAAACTGTTACGTGATATCTGTACTCCCGTATGGTAGTAAGTACTGGACAATGGGCATTTTTAAAAATATTCGCCTATAAAAATATTTGCCAAGAAAAGTGGAATGTTGTTAAAATGTATCATCTAGCGATTAAAGCACTTCCTATACAATTTTAGCTTAGTAAATTGCTATCTCTTTTAATTAAAATGGGATTTTTTAAATTGAAATTATGGTCAAACTCATTATGGTGAGCAACAATTGTATTGAGCGTGCTGTTTTGTAAAATATCCTTTTTGTGATCATATCATTTTTTATTTAAATTCTTCGAGGTTTCTTCTATGTATTTGCTAGTGGCAATCATTATATATATATTACAGAGATAAAGCCCCCCGTAAACTGTGGGCTGGACTTGTGAGAACAATTTTTTGTATTTCTTTGAGGCATGGACTTCCAGAAATCCCTTCAGTTAGTCTACTGGAATCTTTTCCAACCAATCCTAGGGCTTCAACTACAAAAGGGATTGTTGATGTTCCCATGTGCCACTTATTTGAGATTTCGATTTCAAGGTCCTTCTATTTTGACAGCTTTTTGAATATCTTCAAAGATACATTGCAGCTTAGCAGGGACTGCCATATCAATAAGGAGACACTTTTGTGTGTGTGTGATCTTTAATAACAATGTCTATTCTTCTTCTTCTTCTTATTATTATTATTATTATTATTATTATGTTAGTATTAAGTATTTTATTGTTTTAGAAGGAGTTGTAGCAAATTGTACGTTAACCTTGGAAGAATTCTTTTCAAATGTAGTTATGATATATGTTGGTATATATACTTATTCGCTTGTTTTTATCAGAATGGTCCACATTTCCTTTTTGAAATATCTTACAACCCATTTGTTTCGCGTTGAATACAAAATAATTAGGGTATTGGGGGAGCTTAAAGTTATTTTCAATATATTTCTCCTTTTCATATAGATATTGAGGATTAAAAAATATGAGTGTTGTTAATTAAAATTCGTTAATAATTTCGTCATAAAAACCTTTATATATCACTGTATATGATCAAACAATTGAGATAAAAAATATAACCAGAGTAAAGTAAGTTGGAGCAATTTAAAATTTGTCAATAAAGAAATATTTTTGCGTGAAATGAATGTTCTTTTATGTTTAAACAAAAGGCGTGTACGTATATGCGTGAATAAGACAGTGTATTTACATACAGACAGAGCGTGAGAGAGACAAAGAAGGAGTCCATTAAACTTTCAGCTGTATCCTTGGGCGTAAGTTTGTCGGTAAAAGTTGGGAGACGATTGAAGACAATTCCTTCGAAGTCGCTATTAGCCAAAGTGGAGACCTGTTGAAGCCAGTGTGTCTACTGACTTTTGTATTGCTGACTTTTCTTATATTTCATTCTAGGAGTTCTGAACTTAGGACATTGGTCCATTATTCTTTCTCTTTGTCAAGTGGTATGGCTCTTTACTACGTCAGAGCGGAATGGATGTACTGAAACTGATTTTGAAATTTTTAAAATCGACTGTGCGAATTTGATTTCTTTAGTGGCTAGATGTGTTTGTAAACCACAAGTTCTCGAGTCTTGTTTGGTAAACAATCCGGAAGACAAATTTGAATTTAGAACCGTAAGGAAAGGAACGGACAATCACTCCAATATTTTTGCCAAGAATAATCATAGCAAAGTTTACAAATATCAGAGGAAGGAAATTAGATTAGAGATAGATAGATAGATAGATAGATAGATAGATAGATAGATAGATAGAGAGAGAGAGAGAGAGAGAGAAGCGAAATAAACACTTTAAAAAGAGCGTCTACTCAAATACGGTTATGTAAAAAAAATAAAGTTTGACGATATATATATATAGACGATGACGGAGAGTACATGTTTTTTTTTACTAAGCCTCTTCACTGCGAAGGCCGGTAGACATAATTTAAACTGTTAAAAACTAAACAAAACAAAAGAAAATATATATGCATGCTGCTTTAGACATAAGACACAGATGGGTGTTGAAAAGCTTTCGGGTTGGCTTAGAAACTTTCCGCCATAAGGTCTGATATTTGGTCGAATTTTGGGAAAAGGGTCGGATCACGAACTTTTAAACAATTCCCTTTGTTTGCGTGAACGTACGCGGTCGTGTGTGTGGAATAGGGGATATTTATGTCTGTATGTATGCATATATTGTTGGGTATCTGAATATTATCTGAAAATTCGAGGAATCTATAGTTCGAAACGGCTTTTTTAAAAAATAAATATTAGTAAAAAAAAAAAAATGCCAGGTTCTTTATTTTGTGATTCCTGGTGGCATTAGCTCGAGAGACGTGGGAAACGGTGAGAAGCAATAACTATTATATAACTTGACTCGTAATGAGATAAATAAATTTATTAAAATTACCATAACTTCTGAGTAGAATCTATCTATCTATCTATCTATCTATCTATCTATCTATCTATCTATCTATCTATCTATCTCAGTCTGTTCATTATCTATCTATCTATCTATCTATCTATCTATCTATCTATCTATCTCAGTCTATTCATTATCTATCATTATCATCTATCTATCTATCTATCTATCTATCTATCTATCTATCTATCTCTGTTCATTATCTATCTATCTATCTATCTATCTATCTATCTATCTATCTATCTATCTATCTCAGTCTATTCATTATCTATCTATCTATCTATCTATCTATCTATCTATCTATCTATCTATCTATCTATCTCAGTCTGTTCATTATCTATCTATCTATCTATCTATCTATCTATCTATCTATCTATCTATCAGTACCGGGTAGTGAGATTTGTACCATGAAACCAAAAATTTTACAATCAAGTATTTTCTGGCTTTAAATATTCTGCAAAGTGTTGATAAGACAGAAAATAAATGAATATAAATCAATCAATATCTATCTATACTCTCTCTCTCTACAGACACACGTATATAGATAATAAATAAGAATAGATAAAAATAATCATAAAACTATATAATTTATATATATTAAAGGAAACAGTCAATAATATTAAAGTAGTTAATATTTGACTAAAGAAAGAATTCGATATGTTCCATATACACATATATATGTATATATATATATATATATATATATATATATATATATATGGACACACACCTTTATATATGTGTGTGTGCGCGTGTGTGTGTATTATGACGCATAAGGTTGCGCTTAAATAAGCGTTTAACTACTCTCAATTATCATATAAGCACATAAAAAATTCAAAGTATCAATAAATTGTTGCTCGTGTTTCCAGAATGTAAGTCGCTCAGTGTAGCCTGATTTTCCCAAGCAAGTGGATTTCCATGGCGAATATGGACGCATACTACTGTTTGCTGATATTAGTCAATACTTTAATCATTAAGGTTGCCGTTCAAGCAGGTAGGTGAGTCATATGCCACCTCTTTACAAAATCATTCTCCTGTATTGTTCTTTGTAGGTGCAAATAAAACTTCGCGAAGTTTTATTCAAATTATGAACCGTTTTCTCTCTGGTTTCGGTTTTTGTTTTCCTTCTGTCAACATGCAAGACGCATAATTTAGACAGTGAATGACATAGTTTTCGATTTAAAAAAAATTCTAACAAGATATTTTCTCTAGTTAGGCGATTATCAAGATTTTCGCTATCCGAATATTTTGATAATATGACAGCGAATTTTTAGATACATTAATTGTAAAACAATTGATTAAAACGAACAAGTGAATTTTTCATGTAGATCTGTAAGTTGAATTTTCATTTGAAATTTTCACAATGTCCGATTTAATATTTACCCTTGAATTATGTACATTGACAATTTAGGTTGAAAAAGAAATATTTTATGAAATAAAAGCCTTTTGTCTCATTAGGATGCTGACTTATTGATCTACTTGCTTATGATCTAATTATCATGCATTGATTTATGATATTCTTATAAGGAGCTTATGATATCCATATGACGTACTTGATTATGATGTTCATGATATTCTTATGATGTACTTATTTAGCATGTACTTCTAATTTTGCGTATGATATATTTACGATGTACTTAATATACTTACTTATGATGTTCTTAAGATGTACTTATGATATATACCAGGTTTTGTAATCTTTGATGTGTAGACATTGTAATGGCTCCAAATTCTTAATCTGTCTAGCCGAGTTCCAATAACAGTTGAGTTCATTATATTCACTTCGACGTAAATAGCTTTGGGGAAGGTACGAATTCACTTATTCTTCCTCCAGATATGGGTTAATTGGTAAGGCTTATACAACTAAATCGTTATTATCTAAAAAAAAAAATTCTTACTGTCTAAAAATATTTTCTGGCTTTAAATAACCTGCAAAGAATGTATAAGCCGTAGGAAACTGAACAATCAATTAATCTTATGATGTACTTATGATTGATAAAGTAATTATAGCATGTTTATGATGTTTTTAGTTATGATCTACTAAATTATATATTAGACTGTTGCAATTGTTCGTTCCCGATTAGAAAATTAAAAACGATGAAAATCGTGCATGAAATTTTGCAATGATCCAATACTCATGATAATATGTACTTATGATTTATTAAGCAATTATGACTTACTTATTTATGATATACTTATACTTACTCATGATGTACTAATGTTATATTTACTTAGATATTACTTATGGTGTACTTACATATTATGTACTTATAATGGAACTTATGTTATATTTATGATGTACTTATTATATACTTATAACATATCTTAACATGTACTTCCTTATATACTTATGATATATTACTTAGAATGTATTTATTATGTACTTATTTCATAATTATGAAGTACTTATGATATACTTATGATATACGTACTTATTATGTACATCTCATTAGACTTATGATATATTTATGATGCACGTATTATCTATGTATTTATACTTATGATCCATTACGTACTATATTTATGATGTACTTATTATTAATGTACTTATAATTCATAACGTATTTATGGCATGTTTATGATGCACTTAGTATATGCCAATAAAATACTTATGATTATCTACTTATACCTTACTTATGAGATACTTAGTTATTACATATTTACGATGTACTTAGTATGAACTTATGATATACTTATTATATTTATGTACTTGACACATTTATGAGGCATTTACTTATAATGTACTTATACTTGTGATATATTTATAATATACTTATGATGTACTTATGATTTATTAAGTAATTATGGCATATTTATGGTGTACTTATGTTTTATTTATGATATACTTATGATGTACTCATAATTGTCATGCACATATGATGCCCTTATATACTTTTGGTATAGTTATGATGTACTTACTTTTGATGCACTTACTTATGATGTACTGACTTATATATTTATGATATACTTATTTTGGATGTCGTTATAGTATACTTATGATTTGTGGTGGCATATTTATTTACTTAAGATGCTCTTGCTTATAGTTATGATGTATTTACTTATGATGTACATACGATATGCTTATGATTCATTATGTATTTATGATGAACTTACTTGCTTATAGTTATGATGTATTTACTTATGATGTACATACGATATGCTTATGATTCATTATGTACTTATGATGAACTTATGATATACTTATATGTATTTACTTATATGCTTTTGATATACTTGTGACGTACTTAATTTTTGTACTTACTTCTGTACTTATATACGTAAAAACAAAAATAAATAAGTCAAAAATTAAATTCGGTTATTATAAATTAAATATTACAAATTAAATATTAAAATAATATAATATTAAATAAATATATAAAATAATAAAACATATTAACACATATTGATTGCCGTTTTTATTATAACGTCGACCACGAGTTATCGAGTTTTTGTGGTCTTCAAGGCTACAACCAAGAGTTCTTATGTTTTATTTAACGCAAATAACTGGTGCTTGACCTCTAAGGCGGTATTAAAAAATCATACTGACAACTAAAAGCAAACCTTTTTATGTAGGTACCTCCAATAATTCGCTAAAAAATAGTATAGCATGATGATAAAAGACCCCAAACTTATTAAAAACAAAGTTTTATTGTCAACATGTTTATGTTATTATTAAGAGCAAAGTATTTTTTACTTATTTAAAAAAAAATCCTTCTTTCTAAAACGTCCTAAATTTGAACAAAAAATTTTGTATTTTTTTTTTTTTTTTTTTTTTTTGGCAATTGTGTAAGACTTGTGGTAATGGACATTTTCGTGAATCCATTCCCGGGAAAATGACATTACTTTGGAAATTCTTGCAAAAATCAAATAATTGTCGGATTTTAATGAAACTTTCAGGACTTATTAAAAATGAATGAATTTATTTTTGTTTAGAAAATCTCGGTAAAATTATATACTTTTTTTTACATCTGTTACCCCTTATGAAATTTTCTAGAATTTCAAATGATATTAAAATCATTTCATATTACTTATAAGTAGGACTCTGTCGCGGATGTCAAATCGGGTGGCCCGTTCGCGGACGCCGCCGCGTGCGAGGCGACAACAGCCGAAGTAGCGGACGCGCACGGCGACGACGAGCGCCACCGACGCGGACCACGACGACCGCGACCGCCCCTAGCGACGACGACGCCCGCTATGGACCAACGTTTTAAAAATCTGCTCCAAATCGTAAAATAAAAACTGCAATAAAACTGTCTAACTATTTCATTAAATAGGCTTTTATTTGCTTTTATAAATAATATACATTGAGGACATTATTTGTTGAAGAAAAAAATTCGATGAATAATGAATTTTTACAAGAATTGTTTGCATTTTACTTGTTTGAATTTAATTTTCCAATGCAAGTTTCAAAACTGTTTTACAATTCTTCCAAACATCGTAGTAGATAGGTTATTAAGTTATTAATTAAAGACTATATTAATAAGCGAAAATTAAATGGCTTAGTACATCACACCAAAACTTTATGCCATAATTAAAAATAATTTTTTGTGCTTCAAAATGTTACATTTTTTTTTTTTTTTTTTTAGTATGGTGTATCGTAAGTGATATTATGGTTAAAAGGTAACGTGTTTCAAAGCTTGTCCCTCTTAGGGAAAACTCCACATATTAACATTTTCGACTGCTGGAAATTCTTTTATTTCACTTCCGTGTTTCATCGTCCCCTACGTTTCAACAGGCTTCTTTTTAAATCTTGAAGGGATGATTTTCAAAGATTTTTTTCCTATATTTTTAATTTTGCTATGTATTCATCTTTAAATATAAATACCTTTCATAGTGTTTCATTCATCCAATAATTTGTTTTAAATATTAGTTTTTTTACTTAGTTAAGAAAAATAATTTAATTTGTTTTTAGTCTTTTTAAAGTTTCTTTTCTTTTTTGTAAGTTAAATAAAATAATTTTAACAATTCATAATCATCAAAGTATAGCAATTAATAATAAAGAATATAAATTAATACTAAATACTATAATATTTCAAATTGTTGAGTTACCTCTATCATTATATTTTATATTACCTCAGTTAGTTAAAATTTTAATAACTGAGAGTGAGATAATAATTTCATTTCTAATTTAATAATTCAAATAATATAATTAAAATTATTATATTACCTCAGTTATCAATTTAAACATTTAATAATGTAGTATGAGATAGTTATTAAATTATCTCCCTTTCAGTTATTAAATTGACAACTGAGATAATATAATTTATTTTTTATAATTTAAGAGTTGAGAGTGAGATAGTTATTAAAGTATCATCTCACTCTCAATTACAAAATTGATAACAAATGATATAATTTATATTATCTCAGTTATTAAATTAAAAATGAAATTGATATTATTATCTCATCAATTTAAACACTTAATAACTTAGTGAGATAATTTAATTATTAATATAATAATTAAAAATTGTATTAATTATTATCTCAGTTATTAAATTAAAAATGTAATAACTGATAATATAATAATTAATAAAATTATTTATCATTATTTTAGTTATTCAGTAATGAAATACCATTATAGAGGAAACTCAATAAGTTAGGAAATTTTTATAGTATTTTAAATTTTTATATTATAAGAAACAAAAAACAAAAACAAACCGTTCTTACTTAGAATTCGTAAATTTATATCAGTTCTGATCCACCATACTAAACCTGTCAACACCTTCGGCCATAAAATTATCGATGGAGACGTGAGAATAACAAGACCTCGTGGTCAAGAAATGCGTGTTTAGAAAATTTTATGCTATAAGTAATATTTGTTTCAGAACACATTAATTTAACTTTAAATTTGTTAATTTTATGAAAGTAAAGTTTCAGAAATGTATATTTTATTTTTGTGGGATTTTTTAAACCGTGAATTAAGCTTTGTTTATATTTCTCTAAAAAAATTAAAAATGGCTGTTTCGATTGGTTTTTCGGAATAATCGACTAAATATG